TCCTGTTTCTGCCTCTAATATGTCTCTGACTAGACCTTCATGCCTGAGAAGGTGTCCTACCAACCTATCTCGCCTATTTTTTATTGACTTCCATAGGGTCCTCTGTTCTCCTATTCTTTCCAATACCTCTTCATTTCTAATCTTTTCTACCCACGTTATCCTCATCATTCGCCTCTAACACCACATTTCGAACGCTTCTAACCTTTTCTTTTCCGCCGCGCCCACTGTCCATGTTTCGCAGCCGTACAACGCCGCGCTCCAAACATACACCTTTATAAAATAATAAATAAATTTTAAAATATAGAAAGAACTGCTCCATTCGATGGGTTTTAGAATTATAACAGTGGGTATGTAGTGTTGTGGGTATTGTCCGAATATGTTTGCTGTTCTTGCTGAAATACGATACCTTTGGAGTCAAAGAAAAGCGCTAGGAAATGTGTGCCATTAACCAATTTTTGGAGCCGAGTAATCAAATTAAATTGTAAGAGCACTTAACGTTTAAAAATGTCGCGTCACACTGTACTGGGGGGCTAAACAACCAGCATCAGCAGCCGACGGTGTATGCGGTAATAACATAATTGAAACAATGAGATAATGATCTTCCATTCTGATTTACCCTCGCGGTTTAACTTTAGTTTTGTCTGTTGTGTCTTTGCCACAACATACGGCCAATACCAACATGAAAGAGCGCTCGCTGATTTAATGTCGCCGCCCGTTGTAAAGTTCAAAGTTCAAGTGGAAATGGGCCTCAGGGAGAGAACCCTCAGGTACTCTTTTTTTGTTTGTTCTTTTTAAACGGACACTGTTAATTCTAATTTCAAGGCCTTTTTTAATTCGATTCTCTTTTTTGTCTTTTTGTTTGCGAAGGAGAAAATTGAGAACTCAATTTTAGTAAGAAAACAACATAATTCAATTGTCGCTTTTAAAAGTCCTTTACAAAAAAAAAATGTTCTGCAATTTGATCAAATTTTATCCTGTAGGGCTTGTATATACATATTTGCTAAAGTACCTATTCTAAGCTAAAGGAAAGAAATTATAACAAACAAAAAACAAATGAAAATATTAAAAAAAAAATTAAAGATTTCGTTTTTTTAAGAATATTCAAATACATTCCGTCTTTTTAATAATAAATAATAATGAACAATAAATTGTTTAACAGTTATAATTTCAAGTAAAACAGAAATACTGGTATGCAAGGGTAGAAAAAGTAGAGAAAAAGCGAATATGGAGATAGGAGACGAATGATTAAAAGAAGTCGCTGATTTTAGGTATCTAGGAACTACGGAAGGAGTAGTAAGGATATAAAGCAGAGGTTAATGCAGGGTCGAGTCGCCTTCAATAAAAAGAAGTCACTTCTATGCTCGCGAACGGTAAATTTAGAAATTTCAGAGGACTCTGTGGAAGCCAATAAAAAATAGCTGAGATACGTTGGTAGGATACCTTCTCTGGCATGAACGTCTAGTCAGAGACATATTAGAGGCAGAAACAGGAGTTAGGAAGGGTATAGCTAGACCTAGATTAGATTACTGTTCGCAAAAAGGTAATGATGCGGAATGTTGTAGTTTTAGGGAAATGCGGTTAGGTCAGGATAGGGAAAAGTGGAGGAGCGTGTCCAATCAGTCTTAGGACTGACGATCTTATGATGCTGATGTTATAATTTTATTTATCTCTTAACCTAAACGTAAAATATTTCTTAAAATGATCTCTTTTTACGAACGCCCTGTAAATTTTGTTTGTGTAAAAGATAGATCGTCACTTACGAGTTACGATAATTGAATCAGTTGATACGGGTTGGATAAAGCAAAAAAAGTGCGAGCACACAAATTGTATCGCCTGGAGTTCTGGCGAATAAAATGACGTTTGCATAATTATTCAAACCACGTTTTTCTTTTTTTTTTTTTTCAGTTGGCCAACGATTCCACCACAAAACGTGAGCGGCGATAGCAGGAGCAGCGCTCTCGGGGGTGTCGACCCTTTGCTGCCGTCTCCGGCGTCACACAGCGCTGTTATCGTTTCACCCGAAACACTCAGTCATCATTCCTCCCCTGCCAAAATCCCTTCAGTTACAACAGCTTCCGTCTCCACAGTGAAACAGGGACCAGCACATGTTCAAATCTCTTCGACTCAAAGGTACTTTCACAAACTTTCTTTGTGACTTTGTGCCAACGATTTTTCTGCAAGGAAACGTCTCTATTTCTTCTAAAACGTTATTGAAATACATTTGCTGTTAAGACAGCAGGTAAAAGTTGGTCTGTGTTCTGTCGGAGCTGCCTGCGACGCGCTGATGAGATCCAAAAAGATCGAAATCGCGATCCGCGTCTGGCAGTTTCGACAGAATACAGACCACTTCGAATCATTTTGTTCACATTTGTATTTATTCTTTTTTGAATTCTACACTGGATGCATGAAAACTTTATCTACTCACCTAAGTTGTGTATTTGTGACTTCTAATAATTAATAAGAGATAATCATCTTACTTTAATACAGTGCTGTAAGTAAGCATTGAACAACTCCCGTATGCTGTCGCATTCGATTGGTATAAATCAATTTATTTTAATTTATTTTATGAACACATAGCGGTTACTTTAAAGTGGGCATTAAAAAAATAAATAGGAATAATTATTGTTTAATGATTTCGATAAGGAATAAAATAGTTTCTTTCCAAAAAAACTAGTAACTTCGTGATTTTGTAATTCTATTGATTTGCTACGTGCTGAAAATTGCATCAAATGCAATAAACTCGCCAAGAGTATTTAATGTCAGGAAGTTTAATGATTGAGACATTTTCTGTAGATATCAGAGTTCTGGATTCGATGGAGATTAAGTTCCGGTCTAGACATCAGCAGATTAATCGACTATTTCCTACTTTTAAATATCTGCCTTCGTTGCTGTTGTAGGAACAAAGATTGTTTTATTTTAAGAAATTCTTTTTCAAATAAGTTTCTGAAGGTCTGGTATTGTTGCTTCATAATAACGGCTTCCATAAATTTGCCTAAAAATAAGCCATGACTGGCATTTACGATGTATTTCACGAAGTCTTAAAAACTTTAACACCTGTGAAAAACTCCTTTACATTAACATTGACGAGTAATTTACAAGTTCAAAGTCATTATCCGTTTATTTATAAGTTCTCACTTGCAACGACTAAATTGTCGTTTTTGTTTTAAGACACGCTCCAGCCGTATGCTTTTGAAATGAAGTTATTTAGCGTTAAGTATAACAATTACCATTCATTGGAAACTTCCTGCACGTCTGCAAACAATGTCCTTTGTAACTTGCCATTTAATTGTAAAGGTATGTACCTACATACTTTTATTTTATCGATGCATGGCTCAGACTAGGACTAATATACCGAAAAAAGCACAACTGTTGCTACAGTTTTCAAATGAATTGATCGAATTTTCTTTTCTTCACATTTTATTACAGTAATTCTTTCTTTGTACATACTAGAATATTTCTCTAGTGCAATTGAATAGTAGATTTGCAGTTAAAACAAAGGAGCGTTACTGTACTTTTCAAAATTAAAGGGCACGCTTGGGAAGAAAAGCTCTGCATAGGGGTGGATAAAGAAGATTGAATTGCAGGAAACAAAAATAAGGAATAGGTAACAAAGGCGGTAGAAAACTACAAGACATTTGTCTTCGTCGGACTCATACGTATCCACACCTATGGTTTAATATTTTTGACAAAGAAATATAATTAGAGGTTATAAAGAAATCAGATATTTTTGAAAGATTAAATCCCTGAGTAAACATATATATGAAATATAGCAGTCAAATTCTGAAATTTATTTTAACGATGTTAATATTTATGGTAAATAAATAAATTTCTTATTTTTTTGGAATTAATAATACAGTTGTATACACTGTTTTGTTACTTATAATAGAGACTTCGTAGATATCAAGATCAGATTGTCATTCAATCCGGAAACAGCATTCACCTTTCTTTAAGAAGGGAGGCTTGATTGGAGTCATTTTGTTCTTCGACGAAACCGCAAAAAAACAAGTATTTCCGTTTTTTAGACATGATATAAGTATTTCTACAGCACGTGCAGAAGTTCTTTTACTTCGTTGCACCTTAATTACTTACATTGGGGGAGCGAACCACTATTATGTTTAAGAAATCGTTTGTCAGGTGGGATACGTGGTTATTGCGTGTGTGGATATAGACAAAAAGAAATCCAGGTGTTTAGGGAACAAAGAAATAGCAATTCAATGGAGTTAGAAGATATAGCGGTTTTACCTGATAGTTTGATTTAGAGAAAGAAATTTTTACATCAGGGCTTGCATAACTATAGAGACTTATGGAGACATTTTTGAGAAAACGTGTAGAATATGTTGTATGGGAATTTTCGAACTGTTAAAGTTAGAGACATGGATGTTTGTATTAAAAATGCCAGATATAGAAATAAGAAGCGCCTATTTCAGTTTTTTTGGAAATCGATCTGTAAGGACTAAAATGGTGGTAGCACAGTGAATTTCTAAATAATTTTTGGAAACATAATCTGTAACGATTTGACTTGGGAGAGTGTGAATTATTGCATGGGAGATTAACCCGACGAAGAAGTACTTTCGAATACTTTTAGTAGTAGTTTAGAAAAGCTTATAAAGATTAGTCGCAATTTAATAGCCTAGTCATAAAACCTCAATACTTTAGAAACATTTGAGAGTTGATGAACTTGAAAATTATGCACTTTTGTTTTTTAATATAATTTCATCGGTGCGTGTCCAACCAGTCTTAGGACTGACGACCTTATGATGATGATAACATCATCTAGACAAAACACGTTAAATTTTATTAAAAGCAGAAGCTGTGTATTCGTTTATTCCTAGACTTATCATCACTGTTCCTTGTGCGATTACAGGGGCATCTGTAGGCTATATTTCTGTCACTTAAAAAACAAAATAGACGAGCGTGTGGTCCCTGTGACAGAACCTGAGTGATGCATTTTATTTAGTAGGTGCTGTTTAATGAGTAAGTAGTAAAAACTTTCTAAAAATACAAAAAAAATATTAGATCTCCGATATAACATGCATAACTTGAAGTAACAAAGGCAAATTTTGTAGCTAAACGTATAACCTGGCTATCACAATTGAAGTTAAATTTTCACAGTGTGTAATGTTTATGCTTTGTTACACGATCCTAAGTAAACCCCTTATAACGGAGCCCTTTATTGTAGAGACCTTCTTATAATCGTGACTTTAAATTGTCTTGGTTGGTTTGCGTTACAACTAGATTTTGGATCATATGTATAAATGTATATTATACTCTTTCTATAATGAAACAGCCATTCTCTTTACCCAAAACATACGTCAGACTTGAATAGAATTAGATGATGTTAACAGAAGGTTTATTTGAGAAAATTCTCTGTAACGAATGAAAACGCTCGACCCCTTTTGTTTCTACGTAAAAAATTTCTGTACTCTATATTTTAAATCCAAGCTGAATAAGGAAAATGTCTTGCCTTAGATGTATCTCATCCCTACATTTTTAAGTATTTTTAATATCTTTCCCTATTTACCATTCCAGACAGCTTTCTCTCAGGAAAAATTTCAGGAACCTTTCTTATTTTCACTGTCACATTGGCTTTACACTTCTAAAATTAGTCAATACCTACTATCTTCCCGTCTCCTTGTTCTCCTAAGTAGAGCTTAAAAGTTTATTTAAGTTGCTGTCAATGAACAGACAAGTTATTTGTGTCGGCGTCATCTTAACCCCTGTACTTTCAAAGCTTTTGTTTGCTATGTGAAGTGAATACGCACGGTCTCGAGAGGGTTTGCTACGATTTACACATTTACAGGCCCGCAGACGGAGTCTTACTTCGACAAGTAGCACGTAGTGTAGTGTATGTATGCATTTACTTTTTTACTTTACATCAGGCAACACTAATTGTCTCATTTCTACTGTGCTTTGAATGACTTGAACACCACTTGACTTCTCCTACATAAACGATAACATGACGGAGATTTTCTGGTCTTTAACCTTTCGAAACCAAGAAGAAAATACCCTCGTTTTTTAAGGAGTAGTTGATATACTGTGTGTATGAATTCTGGTAAATAATTAATAATTTAGGTATGAAAGTATAAGGAAACACTGGGATTTTCTAAACGTGAACTTTAGTTCCTTGTGTTCTCTAAGCTTTTTATCAAACAAACGTGAAGGCAGATCTTCAATGTTCTGTAGTTTTCTATGTTCTGAAGTTGTCTTAAATCCAAAAGTCAAGTAAAAACCAATTTCTGACTTAATGTGATTGACCAATTAACTCACTTGTCAAAATCTTAGGGTAGTTTTCGTTTTCTATTAGAATATTGAGCATAACTAGAAATGGTCTTAGACGCAGTAAACCAATTGACAAAATTTAAAAAGGTTACTTTCTAAATTAGAAAACTAAACAACAATAAATAATGCATTTTTTCTTTTTATTCTTTAGTGTATACCGTTCTAATTCTTCTCTGGTCGGCTTCTCCTGTATGTAGCCTCTCCTAGTAGGCTAAAAATCATTTAATATCAAGCCAACATAGTTATCATAGTTTAACCTTTCTTTTTGAAGCAATATTTGAAATTCTTTGATTATCTGTTTTCTATGAGAGAGTACATAGCATATAGTACAAAATGTTGTCCGCATTCCTTCCAGTATAGCGAATATTTGGTCAGCATCTAGCTGCATTAAATGTGAAATTAATGTTGGTAGGGGTGCTAAATTAACTCCCTATTAGTAGCTTGTTACGTCCAAAGTGACTGTACCTCAGAGTTGTTGTTTAACGGGTATGCTTCGTAAATAGCAACCGGCTAAAATAGGCCCCCAGTAAATCTAACAAGACAATCAACGGGGAATTAGCGAAAAGCGTTGCAAAATTTAACAGCAAGTTAATTGCTAATTAACAAAAGCTTCATTTACAGCTACAGTTATTTAAGCCAGAACGTTCTAATTCACATTTTCCGTGCTTTGATAAGCAATTTTCAAACAAAATAAGTTTCATTATTATAATTTATTGTCTGACAAACACAATATGAATTTCAATTTCTCCTAGACTTATGAAAGGATCTTTTAAAATACAACCTCTAAGGGATGATTCAAAATTTGAGGCACATTTCAAATTGTCAGGAAACTTGAAATTTTGTACAAAAGTTTGTTCTGCAGCGGTATAATTCACTATAAAATGAGTTTACCAAATACTACCCCCTAAGGGGGGGTTAAAAATCAAATACCTGATAAAATTATAAAAAGATCTAAAGGGTATGCAATATATGACAAAATATTTTTTCGTTTCAGAAGTTATCAATCGACTCATTTGGCACTAGCTCCAATTGGCTATCATTATGGCTACCCTCCAAATTTTCCGGTTATAAGAAAACAATCCATAGCTGAGAAGCAGATGACATGGAGGCAATTGGGAGCGTGAGTATTTTCTTATTGTTATAATTCCTTAAATCAAAAGAGACAAATACGAGCTTAAGTCATTTGTTTCTAAATAGGAATTCACATATTTTGGTATATCTTTATATTCTAAAACAATCGAATAACATCTTAAAAGAAAATTCACTGGCTACAAGTGGAGCTTTTCTTGAATTATTTGATTCAATAAAGTGGAAATTCCGTAACATTTTCTCATGAATGTTTTATGAAAATATCACGTTCAGTATTCACTAGCCCGAAGCTAATTCGATTAAAACTTGGTCAGTTTACATATGTAATTGTTAGGTACATAGGCAAATGAGTTAAGGAAATTAAACCGGGAATGCAGATTAATGTAATCAGCGTATATTTATCTTAATTCACATTTTTCCCTAAAGCGTAATTATCACGTACCTTGGAAAGGTGATAAATTGAGTTGGGGATACTAGAGTCTTTTTTACCAATAAACATGCAAATTATTGCGCCACAGGCACATAGCGTTAGGTGTGGGGTAACTGAAAGTGAAGGGAAGTCCACAAAGCTCCTTTTGATACCTGCGCTTTAAAGACGGTACAGGTATAATAACAAGAAAGCGGCAAAAAGAAGTGAGTGACGATAAAAGCTTTTCCATAAGAAAGGAAATCAACTTTTAAAGATTTCCCCATGGAAATCAAACAAAATTTTGTGGTATGCATGGTAGTAGTAAGTATCTCCATTTCTAAACTGCTACTCATAACTAATAATACAATTATTTTAAACTAAACTGCAGTTATAAATTTTCAATAGCGCAATTTAAATTTACGTACTTAAAATTTATCTGAAATACTATAACCGATTGTAATTGAATTGATTATAATAAATTCATTAGTTGGTTTCGGTTTGAATTCGATGTCAATAATTGTAATGTTTTAATAATATATTTACAAAAAGTGTAGTTTCCTTTTTCTTCACCCAAACGTTATTTTCAATACAATAATTAAGCTGGGCAAAGTGGTGATGGTTTATATTTGAAAAATATCTCCTGCTTGAAATACAATATTTGTTTGGTTTGGAGCTTGCCCCACACAGATGTATACTCTTTGCAACTGGATAAAACAAGGAACGTGCCTCTCCAATCGAAAAAAATGGCGTTTATCAAATTTATTGTAACTCTTGTGATGCCACCTACCTACGTCTGACAATCTGCTGGGGTAATATCAAAACGCGTGTGTTGAAAAAACAAAAAATTTAACTTAAATGGTATGGTCAAACATAGCATCAAAAACAATCATTCTCTTAACACCGATAACATGAAAATATTGCATTCAAATATCTCCAAATATAGAAAGGTTTTCGTTTACAGAATCTAGAAACCAAAAAAGCAATAGAAAATAAATGCAAACTTGTGAAGTGAGTTACACTTATAATTGTTCCTTACTTTTACATAAATTGTGAATATATAAACGACTTTAGGTAGTTTAATCTTTAGTAATCTGTTGTATTCTCTCGTAAATGGTCGTGTGACCGAAAAAAACTTATCCAGTCGAATAAGAACAAGTAAAACTTCCGATTTTGAGTGTTTTTTTGGAATTGCCAGAAAAGACAGTTATATTAATGAAATCAAAATAATATTACATTGATTTTATAATAACAATTAAAACCTCCTCATTTCTAACATTTTCTAATATCTACGGCATTTTTAATATTTGCTTACAACACTACATCTCAAACTAAATATGATCGATAAATAAAAAACGAAAATCCGAATCACCGAACAGTCATGTTTTATTGGGCGAGGGGTTTGTCACAGAATGAACCGTCTACCAAACATGATTTATGATAAACGAAAAATAGAGTTTCAAAGCAAGATTAATTTGTGATAGCGGCTTCTATTGGGGTAGTTATCCCGTCTGTTGTTGCGATGAGCTATATAATAACCCATCTAAGAATAGCTTCTGAATTACCAAACCAACTGCATAAGACCTTATTTACGATGTCCTGGTCGATGTTTTTCTGGTTTGTCAAAATAATTTATGAAGTTTTTATGTCGGCACGTAATAGTCCGCTAACGTCGCGTCTTCTGGAGCTTCTCCAAACCGTGGGTGTTCGTAATACCGGAAATATGAATGTTTAACAAAACAATACTTAGAATTATAATTCCTAGTATAAGAGAGAGAGCTTATAATTTAAAAATTTCTTTTGTAATTAAATACCCTTCGACATATATCTTCGCAATTTTCAATATGTACCTACCAATAGATAGCAAACTAGAAATAGTTATGGATTATTTATTAAACAGAATTTTGTTGATAAATAACTGTAGGCTTTCACGGCCGATACCCTCAGTACTATTGTTATTTGTTTTTCGGGTTTTCTGGTAGTTACCTTTGGAAATTATTTCCTGACTTTTCGCTTACAACTGCGACAGGAATTTTCAAGACCAAGAAGAGCAACGTGTTACCTTTGAAAATGCCTGCCGCAGTTGTAGACGAAACGTTGGAAAATAATTTCGAAAGACAACGACCAGAAAACCCGAAAAACACACAGTTTTGTTGATTTATTTATTATTTGAATGCCTATCTATGAATAATTGTTTTGTAAATAATCCGATTAGTTGAATGTCAGTGCTCAAACCTTAGGGGTAATTATACCTGACCTTTAAAGGCCACATCGCTGGTACTTTCCTTGTAAAACACTCAGTTTAAAAATAATTTCTCATTAATAGATCGTCGAATAAAATGATCTTTTTGAAGACATAATTGTTACACTTTGAATAATTAGCGAACTATTAGGTATTATTAGATTTTTCCCAATATTATACACATAATGTGGTTATTGTTATCGTTTTACAACGATAGTAAAAAGAAGGTGTGATATTACAGCATATATAAAAAAAAAAGAATGAACAATTTCTTTTTTCGCTGTCTCATCGTTTTCCATTCTGGTGAAGCGAATGTTTTGATAACATTATACTGTTTCATTCAAGATCAGTCTGCAGGGGAGATAAAATCATTTATCAAGATGAAAATGGATGGAAAGTGATAATCGCTTTGTTATGAGAGGAATGTAGCAATTGATTGTGTCAGAGTGGATGAAAAATTGCGCTTGCAAAAATTTGTTCGAACAAGGCTGCTAAAGTTTCAGTTGTAAACATGATAAAGCAGAGTAGGTATGCGCCCTATCAAAAGAAAAATTGATAAAAAGTATTTGGAAAAATATCTGCACAGGACGTTTACAAATACAAAACGATTGGATATTTTCAAATCTTGATTACATTTATAAATTAAAATCAGAAAATATTAAATGTCATCTGAACAAAAAAAAAAAAAGAAAAATACAAATTCAGAAAATATATTTCAAAAAGCAATTCCCATTTATCCTGGGATAAATTTATCCCTGTTTTACCCTTTCCTACGTATGTTTAGCACTAGTTCGCAGAGACTAAACAAATTTCTCTCCATAGATTATGAGTGATTCCAATTAGTCACTTAATCAAGCTTCAAAAGCATTGTTGTCACGCATAAGTACTATCCATTATTACTGCAAAAATGCGACTACATTGATATGGAAAACGATTAAACAATAGACAAAACCGGCCTTTATTATTACCCTGCCAACGCGATATTGTAAGTATCCAATTTACACGAACGGAAAGTACAAAAAAGCGCAGGCACCAGTGTTTAAATACTGTTAACATTTACTAAGCCCTTTGTTTTACAATTCCAGTCACATTTTGTGATATTGTACAGAAATTATGTACCCAGCAAGCATTTATTGGACTCGCGCACAGAAATGTGATTTATTTTAAATAGTTCTATTTAAAATGTAAACAGAAAATTCAAAAGCTATCGATACTTAACTGATCAATTATCTTATTTTCATGTCTTTACTTCTGTTGTATTGTTTATGAGTTACACACTACATGCATAACGTACAAGTTGTTCCAAAAAGTGAATTTACCTTTCAACAGTATATGACCCTAAAGTCATTCAGATGTTGATTGTAATTAAATCATCATTCTTTCTATTTCTATATCAAGTATAAAAATAGATTCGATCTAAAAACCTAAAGTGAATGTTTCTAGATGAAAGTCACTAACGTTAACTAAAGAATTTATAGCTGATTGATATCTTAACTTGTACAGTCGAACAATTTATTTACGAATAAAGAGAGATATTTTTCCATTAATTTACCCTGAAAAAGCCTTATTAATAAAAGCCAAACATAGATGTTGGTTGCGATAATAACGTATTTTTTAGCTCTAACTCGGCATTGACATTTATAAACTTTTTCCGGGGTTTTCTGTAGTGGGGACATTTTCCTTTCTAATTTCTGGATGAAATATTGGGGCTTTAACTTTTGAAATTAAATTTTCAATGAGTTTAGGAAATTCCGGTTTCATTAATATTGCATTCGGTTGCCAAGGGAATGATATTAACGCAATGTCGGGAATATTTTCCAGGGACGCTTTGGCTACAACGCTTTCGGCCCTGTACGGGAAGCTGTTGGTAGTTATGGGAACGGCGTTTCCTATGGCGGAGGTTTTATCCACATACATTCCACCCTCGTTTTACGAAGTTTACTATCTCTACCTTTACATCGGAAGCATGTGCTTCATGCTTTACTTGTATACGATGCTGCTCAGAGATAAAAGGAAACGGAAGAAAGAAGAGGCCGACTTGAGTAAGGATTAGTTGTAAACTATGAAACGACGGCAATTGTCTCGAATTCTTTAAGATTAGCCCTTTGCATGAAAACAGCGAAGGGGCGAAGGAACGCAAAAAATTGTCTCAGTGAATTGCTACTAAGTACCTTTTTGGCCGATTGCTCTTTTAAAGTAAGAACAAAGTAGAAATTATCTAGTTGAATAAGTATTGTCTACAGTTAATTATAGCTCTAGGGTCTTCTACAAAGTATATCTTGCTATTATTATGATAAAAATACTTCTCGTTTATTTTTTCTCATTCGTTAAAATCCAACCTTTTTCTTATTGAAGTTTTCGGTTTATTATGCGTTGTAAGCAAAATACTACAAATAAGTATAACTTATTTAATCAAAATAGTTTCTTAATAAAGCAAATTACTTCTTCCTCTTATATAATATTGAATCTATGGACTTCTGAATTTATTTCTATTGATACTACAATAATTACATTACTATCGAGTAGAAGCCACTAGTTAATGAAATAATAATTATTAAATAAACATCAGATGAAAGAAGTAATTCGTCTTTGTTTTCTGCACGTCTATAAAAAATTTTTTTGGGAAATTAGATTTATTCTTAAAAAGTTAAACTAATTTCGAAATTTTAATTAGCTAGGTAGGTACTTAGTTTTTACAAGAGCTTCCAGCAAATGAGAAAAGACAAACGAAGTTGAAGTTTTTGCCTTCCCTTCGCCTTTGTTTTTTGAACTCAGTATTGATTAGATTCCTTCTTAACGCTTCACTTCTCATAATTTCTCATTAATAATCAATCCCTTTTCCTGAGAATAGAGGATAACGACGAATATCTCTCTCTGTTTCTCTTAAAATGATATTATCCAATACCTCCATAAAAGTCTTATTTATAGACACTATTTGTAGGTTCACAAAAATCCATAAAGGGTAGCAGCATATCAGATAGTGGTGAAGAATCGGATAGAGAATCAGAAGAAACAAGTGCAGCCTCAACAAGCTCGAATGTTTGCAGGCCAACACGAAAAGGTTCCTTGTTAGCTCAAGTTCCTAAACAGTACCACTATGGAAGCTTTTATCTACGAATAGGAGCTGTTGGTAAGGCATATATGTATAACATAGATCCAGAGTACCTATACCTTCATTATTAAACAACGACAATAAATCTCCACCTAAGATTTAATTAACTCAGAGGTCCCGTAATTACCAGCTTGGCTTAAACCGTTTAACGTCATATGCCTTCAAGTGTATGCAGCACTATCTTAATTGAAGGTTTATCTCGTATCTTGCTAATTTTAACTTTGCATTACGTTACAATAGTTATTAGAGTGAAGATAATATTTGATCATTTACTTCGCTGTTTTTTTACAAATTCCTTAAATTCAATTAACTTTTTTTTATGTAAGTTCTTATACAAAATGTGATGAAGAAAGGAGAATGCGATAATGTGATATCGACGAATGATTGAAGTGTACAAATTCTATAATTACATGAAATTGAATGTCAACCTTCATGTATCAGCTGATAAGCATTTCACCATGCGTATATGATTTTTCTAAAACTTTATTAAGTAATATCCAATTAAAACAATAAGTCAAGAACTTAAATTTTCTATCTTTATTTAACGCGCATATCTAATAAAAATATATACACGATTAAAATCATTATGACTATGCATGAAGGAGTAACAAGGGATTAAACTTTTGACGTGACAACGTCTTATAATTCGATGGAGCCCGGCTGCACGCACGAAAAAACATGACTCATGCGGCGTTACCTCGCTCTGAGGCGTTCCATTTAAGGCTTGAAGTGCAAGCGAGAGCGCGGAACGAGCGACAAAGAGGCACAATCGGCCTCCGCGTTCGGCAGCGTTCGACATCTGTCTCTC